AAAAAAAAAAAAAAAAAAAAAAAAAAAAAAAAAAAACATAACTAAATATAATTGTGTAAATTATATCATTGGAGAGAAAAGGCATGTAACTGAATTAATATTAAAATATATTAATAAAATATTTTATAACTTCATTATATACAATAATATATATATGTATGTGTAATTTTATGGATACTAGTTTTTTTTTTTATAAACTTAACCGAAAATGTAATTTAATGATAATATACAAGTTAGATATTTTTTATGAAGGAATAAAATAATTGTTTTTTGTTTTCTATCAGTAAATAATTTCTCATTTATTGCATTTTTATTTTTTTTTTTTTTTTTTTTTTTGAAATGAAAGAAGATAAATGAAATAATTAAATATATTTTCAAATATGGTAATAACCTTTTTTATTTAAAATGAATGTTTTTATTATTTGTTGCATTTAGAGAAATTGTTAGAAAAGAGATTAAATAAGCATTGTTTATTTACACATTATATTTTTTTTTTTTTTTTTTTTAATATATTTTGCTTAGACATTTAATTTTTTCGTTTACATGATATTTTGATTTGCGTAAATATATATATCTTTTCTTTATAATTAAATATGATTAAGAATTTTATTTTTATTTATTTTTTTTTGGTATATTTTTGAATATGTTTTTTTCAATTTTTGTGTAGAATTTTGTTCCAAGAAATTAGATATACTAATTTTATAAATATACAATTAACATAATTTAATTTTTTCATTTTTTTAAAATTAATATATTTGGAATTATGAAAAAATAGAAAAATACATAACTATATGTTTGTATCTATACATGTATATATATATATATATATATATTGTGATTGTTTTATCTATTTTGTTATGAATTTGAACGTAATGTGTTTTTAATTAAAAAGGAAATATATGAAATGAATAAAGACCCATTATAGCACTCTTTTAATATTATTTATATTACTTGTAAATATAAATATAAATTAATTTTTTTTTTTTTTTTTTTTTTTTTTTTTTTTTTTGTTTAACTTTTTTACTAAAATATTGTGATAAATTTTTTTCTCTTTAAGTTAGCATAGTAAATGCTCAATAAAAATACTATAAATTTACATATATGATGTTACATAATAAATATTAAGTATACATTTTTTTTTTCTTACAAAAGATAAATTTTATTATATCTTTCTTAAAATATATTTAAATATAACATTTTATAATATATAGAATAAAGAAAATAAATAAAATATGGCAAATTGCATATTTTTACACATTTTATTATTTTTTATTTTGTTTTTAAAGAGTTAAAGTAATATTTAAAATATATAAAATATTAAAAAAATGTTAAAAGAAATATATTAAATATATCTTATAGCAATTTTTTTTTTTAATATTTTTTGTTTTATTTAGCTAAATGATTAATTAACAAAAAAAAAAAAAAAAAAAAAAAAAAAAAAAAAATTTTTTTTT